GGCCAGACTGAACTACAAAGTGAGACCCTGTCCCCCCAAAAACAGCAACGGCCTTGAATTCCAGCACTCAGGAAGCTGAGGCAGGAGGATCTCCAGGACTTTGAGGCCAGCCTGGGTTAGATAGTGAGGTCAAGGCCAGACTGAACTACAAAGTGAGACCCTGTCCCCCCAAAAACAGCAACAACAAAAAGCAAACATAAAGAATCAGTGATATGTATATGGACCGATTGCCCAAGATGAATGCAATCATCACGTATCACAAACATATACTACATAATAACAATAACAATAATCAGTCTGTCCCTCTAGGTCCCCACTCTGCATTCTTCTGCCCTTCTCTTTGTCCAAGCAGTCAGACTCGAGAGTGGCTCCCTCTTGGGTTTAGCCAGTGGGAGACCAGGTGGGTGCAGAGGGCGCAGGCCTGGCTGCTCCAGAAGGTCCTGGTAGGCAGCCCCTCCACTCTGCAGCTCTTAGGCTTTCGCTGCCTGTCCCAGCCTCTTCCTGCTCAGGCCCTGGGGCATCAATGGCCACTCACCCTGGACGTGGTCCTTTATGAAGCTCTCCATAGCCGCCCAGACTGCACCATCTTTACCCTGGCAGGATGCACACAGAGGTTACTGATTTCAGGACACTCCCTGAGTCTGCAAGAAGTGACATTATTTTATGGTCTACTGAAATCCAACTCTGAGGCCCCCTTCTGCTAGGTTGGAGAGAAATGGGATCTCATTGCAGGGACTCCACACACCCTACACACACAGGCTGAGGCCTGCCAAGGCCCTGGGCACTTTTGCAGTCACCAAGCTTTGGGGTCCCACTTAGTGCCCACCCTGGTGACTGCTCGGTCATCCGTCATCCCAGGCTCCTGGTCCTTCAGGGTTCAGTGATGCTGATGTTTCCATGCCAGGCGTGGGACAAGGAGAGCCTCGGGCAGACTGCAAGCCCTGGCTTGGTGTGGGAGGATTCTGCCTTCTCGGGGGCTGCTTGGGATTCACTCTCCTGTATCCCTTTCCTGGGCTGCTTCTTTGCCTCTTTTCTCTATGCTCTCGTTTTGTTTTGTGCCGCTGGGGATTAAACCCAGGACCTTTGCTTTGCAGTAAGTTCTCCAGACTTTTTTTTTTTTTTTTTTTTTTTTTTTTTTTTTTGGTATTGGGGATTGAACTTGGGACCTTGCGCTTTTGAGGCAGGCAGCGGAACTACTGAGCTAAATCTCTGGCCCTTTAACTTTTAATTTTGAGACAGGGTCTTGCTAAGTCGACTCACTCCCCAAGGCAACAGAGATTGTTTCAAGAAGGGAAACAAAGAATGTAAACACGTCACCAATGAAGTAAATTCTGACAGGTCCGTGGAGCATTTACAAAGGCACCTGATATAATAGCAACCCAGTTATGAGTTAGGCCCAGTGAGAAGGTTGGGTGTGTCCTGAATTGTAACCCATACAGATAACCAAAGAGTCAGTATGAGCTGCATATTATTTTGCTGGTCTATATTGCCCATTAATCTCATCAGTGACTTCCATTCTTTGAAAACCACAGTCCATATGTAAGTACAAACTCCATTAAAAAAAATTTTTTTTTCACAAAAATGTAGTACCAGGCATGCATTTGATAAGTCCTCCGGAATTTCATCTGTTTAGTCGAATGCTTTGCATATTATTTATCTTTTTACCTTTTAAGAAAGCACATTCTGCTACCAAACATTCCTACAAGATTAAATTGTCAGCTCAGGAGACAACTTGGGGTATCTGCAAACCTTGAATTGGGATTCCATTCAAATTTAATTTCTTTCCTCTCTAAGTAACCTAGATGGCAGGAGCATTAAATGACAATTAATGGCTAGTGAAATAACCCACTTCTGAATTCGTTCCTGCGCCTGGGTCATTTTTCCCTGTCTTGAACGAATGGGATAACGTGGGCAGTGCTCGGAGCCGGCCCAGATGGGACAGACTTGAAGACTGGCATCCGCTGAACACTCGTGCCGGATCCAGAAATATCTCAGAGTCGGATGAAAGGTCTAAATTTAATACCAAAAACAGAAAATTGGCTTGCCTTCCCTGTCCTCTGCGCAGGAAAGTTCTTGTTTGGAAGTTCTGGGATGGGAAGGGGCTGGAGACAGCATTCATGGCACCCTCAGGTTTCCATGGAGATGGGTGGGGGGCATCTGCTGTAATCCCAGGACCTCACGTGGCTGGTGATGGAGGCCTGCATGAGGGCTGAGGTGTGCTGGAAGGAAAGCAAGGAGGTTCTCTCTGATACAGATCATCCCCACAATCAGTAGGCGCTTATTTCTTCGTCTTCTGGTTTTCCTGATGTGGCCTTCAAGGTGTAACAGCCTTCCCTGAGCAAGGTCTGGGACACCTGTACCTACTACCCAGCATCTGTACCTCTGGTAACAAACACGGCCTGACTATAGGAGAGTCTCCCTCATTCAGTCTACTACTGTGGCCCTTAGAGTCATAGCAATTGATTCAAGAATAGTCTGATATTGTTTGGGCCAAGGAGAGTTGTCCCTGGAATTTGCTGAAATGATGGGAGAATTTGCTGAAATGATAGGGGTTGCTAAGCTGTGTAAACCTATTGTTCCAAGCAGCTCCATTCAGAGAAAAGCAGGTGTGAGAGACAGAGAAGGCGGGGGAGGGGAGAATACACTGTTGACATTACTATGCTCCAGGATCAAGCCATACCTGAAGGTAGTGATAACACTGGGTTTCACAATTACGCAAAATAATAACAGCTCATACTACTTTTTGTTTTGGGTTAAACCTGGTCTTGAAAAATCGCTTTTACCAGGAGCTATTTTTTTAACTCTCTGAATAACCAGAGCAGAGGTTCACACAGTCTCAGTATAGTTAATGAAGGAGATTGGGAAGATCAGCTTCCAGCCTCACCAACTCCCTTCATAGCCTCCTCACCCTCTCCACTGCCAGAAGATGGTGACTATTTCAAGCCCATTCCACAGAGACAGCATCTTCCTGTCGTTTCTGTAGAGAAACAAATTCTAGTGTTTCGGTAGCAAGGGATAAGTAGGCTACCATGGCAGGTTTGTTATTAACCCCCCAAAAAACTGCTACAAACTCTCCATATAGGGGCCTGTAGTCTGTAGCCATGGCACCCAGGAAGCTAAACATTAACAAGAATTGAAGGCGAGACAAACTCTGGGACCCAAGACACACACACACACACACACACACACACACACACACACAAACCCCTCTGAAGCACCCTGTTTAGCATCCTTGCAGGATGCTAGTTAAGATGGAGGCTAGATGGGGCCACTCACCTGATGTGGCCTGGAGAATCTTGGTCCACGGGAGGCACAGGTCTGTACGTGAATGTTCATAGCAGCGCTGTTTATCACACCAAAGTGGAATCAGCCCAGATGCCCATCAACTCAACAGACAAAAAAATGTGATGCGGCCACACCCTGGAACGTTATTTGTCTCTAAGAAGGGATCATGCGCACAATACCACGGATAAGACTTAAAAACGCTATGCCAAGTGAAAGAAGCCTGGCACAAAAGGCCACATGTTTTATTTCAATGTGGTTTTGGTTTTTTGAGACAAGGTCTAACTATATAGTCTGTGCTATCTTTGAACTCACCATGTAGCCCAGCTTGGCCTCAAACCTGTATCTTCCTGCCTCAGCCTCCCAAGTGGGGGGACTACAGGTATGCACCACCACACCCAGCTGCTACATGTTTTATGATTCTATTTATAGAAAATGTCTAGAAGAGGCAAATCCCTAGAGACAGGAAGCAAATTAGTGGTTGCTGGAGGCAATAAAAATTCTTGGGGATTAGATAGTGATAATGTTTACTCATCTTTGTAAATATGCTAAAAATCATTGAGCTTTTATACACTTAATGGGTGAATTATATTTCAATAAAGCTGCTAAAAAGGAGAGAGTTGAGTGGACTGGGTGCTTTGGGCTATTGTCGCATAGAGCTAGACCTTCCCTCAACTATTAAAAATGTCAGCCAGGCATGGTGGCAATGCCTGAATGACAGCACTTGGGAGACCAGCTTAGGCTACATAGTGAGTTCAAGGCCAACCGGAACTACATAGTAAGACCCTGACTCAAAATACCAAACCAGGGGCTGGGATTTAGCTCAGTGGTGCCATGCCCACCTTGCAAGCGCAAGGTCCTGAGTTCAATTCCCCAGCACCAAAGAAAACAACCAAAACAAACAAGAAAAAAATACATAGTATTATAATTCATTATTTTTGAGTCGTTGTAACTCTGGTGCTATTATCTGTAGCTGGTTTCCCCTAAGATGTTGGAGCAGTCGACTCTTTTCAGAGTCAGAGGAATATGTTTTGTTTTGTTTTTCTTGTTTTCATTGCCACCTGATATCACCAAAGTACAATGATCTCCAGTATAATAAGGAAAAGGCTCAAAATACTATTCACCAACTAAGGCCTCCCCCGCACAAGCCAGTGCAGTTTTGGGGTCTCTGTCCTGGTAACTTCCAAACATCATCAGTGATGTAGGCATGAAGACCTCCCTGTAAACCGTCCAGGGTGCGACCCTTACAAAGACAAGGGTGACATCAGATATTTCTCTGTATGATCGATAGCTTCTCAGAGGCCAAGTGGAGCTTTAAGTCATTTACTTTTTTTTTTTGCTTTTCTTGCTCTCAGCATATTAAAAAAATTTACTGGATTGAAAAAAATTAATTCCCACTCCAGGCACCATGGCCCAATAATGTGACACAGAAGCTGAAATCTCAATGATGAATGCGTCTCCTTTTAATCCTGCCAGACTCTCCAACTGTTCCTATGCATAACCTAGTTTGGAGATACTTACATCAAAAACCTATATTTGAAGCCAGGGCTCAACACTTCCTCATCCCAAACCCCAAAGGCCCTGTGTTAAAGGAAGAAGTCATTGCCCACGTTTGGTGAATGAATGAATGAATGAATGAAGTAGCAAACACACTTAGGATAGATTAATCATGCAGAGTGTTTCGTAACTGCAACTGCTGGACAGATGTTCCAGAGTGTAACTGTCTCACCTAAATCAGGGGCACATCCCCAAAGTCTCTGGGATCTGACAGGGCCTCAGAACCTGGGAATTCAATTCGCGCGTGGGCGGAGACGGCGACCCAACTGCCGGAAGTGACGTATGGCTGCAGCCTAGCAACCAGGGAGCAGACTCTAGGATCAAGCAAGAGCGCGGGTGCCTCCTGGGTGGGGGTGGGGATGTGATTTCGTGAGGAGAATTTGAGGTAACCTCGCCAGCTCGCGGTCGGAAACTCCCCCAAACCCTGACTCGGGAGCGAACCCCCGCCCCCGAGTTGCACGAGGCGGTGGCGTAGCGGTTCAGTCGCCCCATCCAGGGTCCGGCCCCTGCTGGGCCAGGCCGGGATGCGGGCCGATCCGCCGTGGGATGGGCGGTTGGGAGCCCGGCGCAGCCCCGTGCCAGGGGCCTGGTTGGCGGTGGGGACCCCTCCCCCTTCCCCTCCCCCGGGCTCGGGACTCTATTTCTGGAACTCCCAGGAGGCTGCGGGTCTGCGCTTGTGCCAGCCCAGGACCCGGGCGCCGTCGGTGCTGTCCCGAGTTGTGCCAGATAAAACGCACGCCCTGGTTTTAATTCTTCCCCCCGCCCCTCGGGTGCCTTTGTGGATGAGTGCTCGTGCGCTAGCGTGGCCACGGTGCGCTGCGAGAGGAAGAGTAATTGCTTTCGCTAATTTTGGAGCGCAGAGCCCGCTGGGCATGGGCAGCCTACCTGTGTAGAGCATCCTGGCCCTCAGCGGACACCATTGCAAAGCTGCTGGGCGACCAGGGGTGGGGGAAGCCCAGCTAATTTCTTTTCCCTTCCTGGTAACGTTTTAGTCATGGATATAGATTCTATTTTATTTTATTTTTGGTTTGTTTGTTTTAGAGGGAGGGGGAAATAGATCGATAATTTCTGAATCGTTTAAAATTAAATATATACTTGTGTGAAGGTTATGTGAGACTTTTCTTTCAGATGCTTTTAATAGTGGAAAACTCGGTACCTCCAATGTGGATTTTTACTCGTGTAAAGGTTTTCCTTTTACAGCTTAAAGGAAACCTCAGCTTTGTAAACCAGAATGGTTATCCTATCTTCTTTTGACTTACCTTTTTAGAGTTTTAATTATTTGTTCATAATTTTATCATTGATATAGGGAAATGATAATCTTTACATTTTGGTGTTTTCTAAATACTCAGTTCCACTCACCCATTTTTAAAAAAATACATTTCAAAGCAAGATGTTTGTCACTGGAGCATGTCATGAGTAAAATAGCATCTGTCCATTTTGTGGCATTGAAATAATTTTTTCTTCAGTCTCCTTTTTTTTCCAGTTCATTTTTTAATTGCTTATGTTAAAGCTATTTACCATGGTAAAGCTGTTTCAGGAGTTAGGAAATCAGATATTCAGTTTTTTAAACAGGATCTTTCTTACTACCCCAGCCCGATTTCCTTTAGACTAAAGCTTCCGTTTTTTTCTGGCCTCGGGCCTGTGAACACGTTCAGTCAGTTTAGTGGAAAAAGTCATTGCTTTACACCCTTTGTGGACCCTTTGCTTATGAGGAACTTGAAATTTTGATGAGCAGGGCTTAAAAGTGGTTGAGATTTGCTTTGTTGGGGGTTAGGGAGAGAAGTCATTTTAGACAGAAAAAATAGCATTAATTGAAGGGAGCAGGGATTATTTCAGTGGGCTGAAATTTGAAAGGGTGAAAGGCGACAGTTTGGAAATAAAGATGAGAAAGTTTGAGCTAGATTATGAAAGTGTGAAAATCCAAGAAGGTTGGACTTTATTTTGTATGTAACGAGAAGACTAGGAGTAATTAGGAATGGGGAGAGGTGTAGACCAGAAAACTGGAGACTTGCAGAAGGAAGTGAAGGCCTGAATTACTCAGGGTGGCCGAGTTGCTGCCTACCAGGCTACGTTGGTAACAAACTGAACAGTGCTTGGTGAAAACCAGAAGAGCACCGAAGAATGCATACTCAAAGTGTGCAGTCCTCTACGCAGCTTCCGTTGTTGGGACCAAGCGTGAATGTGGGCCTGGGGTGTCCAGGTCTGATTTTCAAGGGAAATCAGATACCTAGATTTTATTATAAAAAATTTCAGAGTTTTAAATGTGAGCTGTTAATTAGAAATCAAACAAAGTAGAAGCATGTTGGCAGTCAAATGTTTAACCCCAGTGTGGAAATTGTGGAGCTAGGTTGGAGAGGTATTAATGTAGTGGGATTTATTATTCATTTCTCTGTGTTAATTCAGGTGTTTGCTGTTACATTTGAGGCACATACAAAAACATTTGATGTTAAATTTGAAAAACATACTGCAGCTTTTATAATAAAATCTTCATATATATAGAATCCTCACACTCTGATTTCTTCCAATGAAATAAGCGTTTTTCATAGCATTTTATATGCCATGAAGAATTATAACTTTCATGCCTGTTTCTTACAAACTTAATTCTGATTTTTCCTCAGAACTTTTGCTACCAATATTGAGGAATTATAAAAAAAATTATATCCTCCAATTTTTAAGTTGTAAAATCCAATTATGAGTGATCAAATCAAATTCATTGTGGACAATCTCAATAAGGAGCCTTTTAAGAAGAACTATAATTTAATTACCTTTGATTCCCTGGACCCAATGCAACTATTACAAGTTCTTAATGATGTTCTGGCTGAGATTGACCCAAAGGTAAGAGTTTTCTCTTTGTAAACAAGAGGGTAGTGGGGGCTGGGGATTTAGCTTAGTGGCACTACGCCTGCCTTGCAAGTGCAAGGTCCTGAGTTCAATCCCTGCTATCAAAAATAAATAAATAAAAATTTAAAATAAGGTAAGACAGCAAGTTTCTGCTTTTAAGTAGTTGTGTATCTTTTGGAAATTATTTAACATCTCTAGGCCTTATTTTCCATGTCTATAAAATAATAGTAAATGATCTTTAAGGTTTCTCTGCTAATCCCAAAATTAAGTTACCACCTTGCACTTTATTTAGAAACTACTTTCCTTCCAGACATAAATTTGGACCTGTAATGAAAGTGCTTTTACAAAAGGCTTTATTGTATTTCAAGTTAGCTCATGTCTCTCACACACTGGATTTTCCAGCTGGAGACTTTTTTTTAAGGTTAACATTCTTAATATGAATCCTGATCAGACTTGTATGCTTCCTCACTTGGAATCTGGGGTCACCATACTTAATATGGTTATGCAGAGGCCATTGTGCCTGTTATGCCCTAGCAAAACAATTTTGTCATTGAGTTTCAATATTGTTTTTTGTTAGATATACAACAATGACATATTTTTCAATTTCTTTATTTGTTAGCAAGTTGTTGATATCAGAGAGGAGATGCCAGAACAGACAGCCAAACGCATGTTCAGCCTTCTTGGTATCCTTAAATACAAGCCTCCGGGAAATGCCACAGACGTGTAAGAATCTGCTCACATATTGCCTTCTTTGTTTTTTTGGTTTTTTGAGACTATGTAGTTGAGACTGATCTGGAACTCACTATGTAGCCCAGGCTGGTCCCCAACTCACAGCGATCCTCCTGCCTCAGCCTCCTGAGTGCTAGGATTACAGGCGTGTGCCACCACGCCCGGCCACACGTATTGCCTTCTTAAAATCATGCTTAACTGGGCATGGTGGCAAATACATACAATCCTAGCTACTGTATTTGAGCGGATGAAGCAAGAGGATTACAAGTTTGAGGCTAGCCTGAGCAATTTAGCATAGCTTTGCCTCAAAGGAAAAATTGAAAAATGCCTGGGGATGTAGCTTAGCTTTTCTTGGGTTCAATTCCTAGTGTCACAAAAAACAAGAATTTAAAAAAGCATGTTTTCGTGGCCAATCTTCATATACTATAATCAGTCTTTTTAGGCAATACCTGCATTCCTGGTGGTGAATTTCAGAATAGTCTCAAGCCAGGTATGGTGTCCCACACTTTAATCTCAGGAGGCTGAGGAAGGAACATTGCTGGGAGTTGGAGTAGCCTGAGCTACATAGTAAGTTCGAGGCCAGCCTAGACTATATAGTGAGACTCTTAACTAAGAAAAACAAAAACAGAGAAAATGAAATAGTCTTAAATCTTTTATTGCTTTGCCATGCTGCAGTCTTAAGTGGACCAGTTCTTTCCCCTCACCAAAAAAAGTTAAATACTATTTTATCACATTTCTGTCACACTAGATAAAAGTAACTTAAACACTGCCCGATTAAGTATTAAGGCTGACTATGCCAATTAATGGTTTCAGTGTAACTTCCTTGGATACCACAATGATATATCAAGGGCCTAATTTTTCTAAATTTCTAATTAATTTAAGATTGACTTAAGAATAAGTCAATTTTATTTTTTAAGTTTATCTTTTAAAATTAGTTTTAGGAAGCAATCAGGACATTGTATATCATATTTTGAGCCAAAGACTCTCTTTTCCAGTTTTACTGATCAGAGTGTGTGTGTGTGTGTGTGTGTGTGTGTGTGTGTGTGTATTTCTTTTTTTAGGAGTACCTTCCGTCAGGGTTTGGTGATTGGAAGTAAACCTGTAGTTTACCCAGTGCTTCACTGGCTTCTTCAGAGGACTAATGAGCTGAAGAAAAGAGCATATTTAGCTCGATTTTTAATAAAACTGGAAGTACCAAGTGAATTTCTTCAGGATGAAATTGTGGCTGACACCAATAAACAGGTATACCATATATAAGTGGCATTTTGAAACCACCAAATACATGTTTATCTCCTTTTAATTGCTATGTCAAGTTCCAGGCGACCCCAGAAGGTAAAACAATTTCAGCTCATGGTGAACTGTGGTCATATCTTCAAATAATGACTGTTGCACACAAATACCACTTTAGTGACATGGAGTATGTGGCTAGGAATAAAAAACCTGAAGTTAAGGCTTTAGAATACCTATTTATTTATTTTGAGGCAGGGATTTGCTTTGTAGTTCAGGCTGGTCTTGAACTCACTGTTTGTCTCAGGCTGGTCTTGAACTTAGCGATCCTCCTGCCTCAGCCTCCCAAGTGCCGGGATTACAGGTGCGCACCCCCATGCCCGGCTTAGAATAAATACCTTTTTGGTTAGCAGGTGTGGGTTGGCAAGATCCTGGGCTTGAGGCTGCAAGCACTTTGCTGATCAGTAAGGTAACTATGGTTTGTCATTCAAGTTAGAGAGAAGCCATCTGCTATGTGTAAAGCAGCACCATCCTGGGCCATTTGGAACCTGTGAGCCCTGTGAGGAAGTAGGCAAAGAAACCAGGCTTGCAGCCTCAAATGGGATAGAAATAAGTCTGGGAGTTTGAAGTCTCAATGCATTTTTCTCAGAGTTTTACAGAAACATTGTGTTTTGACCTCAAGTTTTAAAACTCTTGACTGCTGAGGATTCTGGCTTGTCTGACTCCTGGTCCTAGAGTCCCAAGGCATGTTGCTTTCATAGACTACAGAGAGAAACCAGATTTTAGAGAACTGATTTTTTTTAAAAAGTGCCTTTGGCTATTGTTTTGTACTTTATTTTATAACACTTATACTCATTTGTGTCAGTTTGTTGTGAATTTTTGTTCTGTTTATGAGACAAGTTCTCATTATATAGTTGAGGCTGGCCTTTAACCCACTGTGTAGCCCAGGGTGGCCTTCAACTCATGGTGATCCTCCTGCTTCAGCCTTCTGAGTACATTGAGTACAGTGCTGTTAATTGTTAATCTGTCTGGAAGGTCTGAGGAGATAAGTATCACATACTATCTTTAGTTTTCTCCATGATTTTGTATAATTGTTTTTATATGTTGTGCAATATTTGGATTGAATCAAAAGAATTCGCTGAATGTTTTTATCCTTCTATTTTGTTCTTTGGATAGACCTAGTAGTCACTCAGACTTCATATTGATCTCTTGAGACAATGCTTATGCAAATAATTATGTTGGATGTCACGGGAGAAGCACCACAGAATGAGACTACCCTCTTTGGTTTTTTGTACCAGGGATTGAACTCAGGACTTTGCACTTGCAAGGCAGGTGGTGGAACCACTGAGCTAAATCCCCGGCCCTGTCTTTCTGATTGAAGAGTTTTAGAAAGAATAACTTGTAGAAATGTAGGATATAAGTGAAGATTATTTTTGTGTGTGGTGCTTGGGTCAAACCAGGTTCTCATGCATGCCAGTACTCATCCACTGAGCTACATTCCAGCCCAAAACTACTATTCTGAAAAAAAATAGTAATAGGTGTGATTTCTTCCATTCATCAGGTGACTCTGTTGGAAGTTTATGTGGATTATACATTGTGCAGCTCCAAGGATACAAAGGCATGTGCAGTGCATATGATTCTTTTCTTTTGGATCTCACTGTCTAGTGGAGGGAGAGACATAAGTAGCTACCCTGGTAGGTGGAGGCCCAGAAAGGCTTCTCTGAGAATAGTGGTGTCTATGCTGAGACCTGCAGGGAGAACTGGAGACACCCAGGTGAAGGTGTGGGAGTCTTAGAGTACTCAGAGAGGACAGGATATGGAACCTGGAGGTAAGAGTGTGGGCTGTGCTATGGACTGAAGGAAGGCCGACATATCTGAGGTTATGTGAGGCGAGAATATTTACCAGCCGCATTGCACAGATCTACTTTTTGTGTCCATATAAAAGTTTAAGGGTGTGTTTTTAATGCTGTCCTTACAGTGATTTAAGTAATTACTGTAAGTTAATGAATAACCGGGTTAAGAAAACTGTCCTGGATCTAGTCACTAGTTTATAATTTATTAACTTATTCTTTTAGTATGAAGAGTTGATGGAAGTCTTTAAAACCTTGCATAAAGAATGTGAACAACTCAAGACATCTGGATTTTCTACAGCAGAAATAAGAAGGGTAAAGAATAGAAAGCAATTTTGGATTTTAATAATAATGGGTTTAGCTTTTTTGTTTTGAGTTATTCAGTATGAGTTTAATACCGTGTGGAGACTGGTGATAGCAAATGGCAGATTTTTTTGTAAGACCTTGGTAATTCTTTATTGACGAAATTAATGAGGATAGTGAAAATTTACACTGAGTTCTATACAGACCACCAGCAGAGATTGAAAAAGATTACATTTTGAGTCTATCTGTTAAATGTATTTTATATATATGATATAGAAAATACAGAAAAGAACAAAAAAAATCATTGGCTCTGGAATCACATTATATACAGTTATTTATATCTTGCTCTTACTTTTTGAGCGGGTACTGGGAATTGAACTCAGGACTGCTTGCCAGGCAGGCCGAGCACCACTGAACTATGTCCCTGGCCTTTTAAATAACTACTTTTTAAAATATATTCTTATTATTTTTCTATAAAAATTATTTTAATCACCAAATTATATTCCAGAGTGTGAATATGAGGTATGATTGAAAGAAAGGTATGATTTTTAAAAAGCTATTCTGGTAAAAGATACATTGTCACTATTCCCTCTCAAAATGCGCCTCCCTTTGCTTCAAACACACTTATCCTATCACTTTTGGCATTTTCTTTTTTTTTGATACCAGGGATCAAACTCATGCCCTTGAGCTTGCAAGGTAGGTGGCAGAACCACTGAGCTAAATCCCTGGCCCCACTTTTGGCATTTTCCAAAGCAGTTCTGGAAGTCCTTAGTTATACGTCAGGGCTCCTTGAATGTCCTGAATGAACTCAAAACGTTTACCTTTTGTGGTCATTTTGACTTTGGGGATGAACCATTAGTCACAGAGTGCCAGATCTGGTGAATAAGGTGGATGAAGATGATGTTTTTATAAGCCTGCCTTTCTGCTCAGTAGCCCTTGGCAACAGCATTCATTATTTTTCTTTTTGTTTTGGTTTATTCATTTATTTATTTACTGAGACAGGGTCTCACCATGTAGCCCAGGCTGGCCTTGAACTCACTTTGTAGCTCAAGCTGGCCTTGAACTTGTGGCAATCCTTCTGCCTTAGCTTCCCGAATGCTGGGATTACAGGCATGTGCCAGCCACCATGCCCAGCTTCACTGTTTTGTTTGTTTATTTGGTTTTAGTATTGGGGATTGAACTCATGACTTTGCGTTTGCGAGGCAGTTGCAGTGCCACTGAGCTAAATCCCTAGCCCCTCACTGTGTTTTTGATCATACCTCATAAAGACATGAGAGAAGACTTCTAGAACTGCTTCAGAAAGTGGCAAGAATGACAGACTAAGTCAGTTTGAAGTAAGGGGAGTATTTAGCAGAAGATTAATGGCAATGTGTCTTTTACTGTAATGAATTTTTAAAAATTTAAATATTCACCATATATTTTGATCACACTTGTAGTTCAAACATTTTTCATTTTTTAACTTCGTTATTCTAGATAATGCTATGATTATCTTCTATACAAGCTTTAGCATATATCTGATTATTTCCTTAGAATAAATTTTTAGAAATATCAATTTCTTATTAAACCACATGAACACTTTTAGGACTTTTGACATACCTTAATGTTCTCCAGAAGATATTTTTACAAAAATGTTTTTACTAGAAATTTAAGTTTTTTCCCCAAATATACACTGTATTAACTTACATGGATTTTTGTATTTTTAGAATTCATGAATTATGAATGCCATATTTATATCCTCCTTAAATCAGGAACATTAGAAGTTGCTTTCCCAGGGGAGCCTTCCCTCATTCCTTTAATAGGTTCTCCCAGTTCTCTTTTTTTTTTTGATACAGGGGATCAAACGCAGGTCCACTGCACTTGCGAGTCAGGCAGTGGAACCACTGAGCTAAATCCTCAGCCCTTTTTTTGTTTTTTTGAGATAGGGTCTCACATGTAGTTGAGACTGACCTGGAACTCACCATGTAGCCCAGGCTGGTCTTGAACTCACAGCCATCCTCCTGCCTCAGCCTCCCGAGTGCTGGGATTACAGGCATGCGCCACCACTCCTGGCTCTCCAATTCTCTTTTCTTTATGGTGCTCATTATATTTGCAATTACTTTAATATCCGTCTTACCAGGTACCTTTTAGCAGACAAGGACTGTGTCTATACCTCTTTTTCTTTTCTTTCTTTCTTTTTTTTAATATGGAGGATTGAACTCCAGACATTGCACTTGTGAGACACTCAGCAGAACCACTGAGCTAAATCCCCGGCCCTGTACCTCTTGTTCACTGTTAGATTCCCCATGCCTATCACACACGTGGTAGAGTCTCAGTACAAGTTTGTTGAATATTAGAAGTGAAAGATGAACTCAGATCTAGTGGGGGAGGAAGACCAAGAAGTAGATACTTATAACACCCTGTGGAAGAAGAGTGATGTCCATTGCCTGCTCCTTCGTCGTGTCTTGCACATAAGCAAAGATGATAAATGAACCTAGAGTCTGTATTTTAATTTCATTCACTGTTAACAAAATATTCTTACACATATTCTTCGTAATAAATTTTATTTATTTATTTATTTATTTATTTTGAGACAGGGTCTCTATGCAGTTCAGGCTGGCCTTGAATTCACTGTGTGGCCCAGGCTGGCCTTGAACTCATGGTGATCCTCCTGCCTCAGCCTCCCGAGTGCTGGGATTACAGGCATGCACCATCATGTCTGGCTGGAATAAATTTTTAGAAGATGTTAAAGGAAGCAGTTCACTTAGGAATTCTCCCTACTCATCAAGAGTAGCTGTCTGTCATCTCTCATTCCCCTTCACCATCTTCAAATAAATTGTCTTCTTTTATTTTTTTTAAAAGATGATTAAACAAGAAGTAGAAAGTAATTCACTCATAACCCCATGCTCTAGAAGCAACTAACATTTTGGTAAATTTATTTAAGTCCTTCTCTTGGTATTGTACTATATTTAAATGCTATAATTTGCTTCTTTCAAGTAATGTTATGTCGTGACTTTCCTCATGTCATTAAACATTCTTCATAATATTTTTACATTCGTAATTTTTAAATGACTTTCATTGTATTATGCTGTAGTTTATTTAACAATCCTCAGATTTCAAATTATAGATATAATTGGCATCAGTGAGAATCCTTGTAGAGAAATCTGTGATTTTTCGTGAGTATTAGTACAGATCTTCTAATGTGGAATTACTGGGCTAGCAGGGAATGCATATTTATCCTATAACTTCTTAGATTATTTTTTAATACATTGGTACCAGTAGTAAGTGAGAGTGCAAGTTTCCCCAAATTCAGCTGTCTTGACTACCATGTACATTTTACCTTCAGAGACACTATATTCTTTATTTTTAGGTTTAGGAAGGATTTTATTTGTTCGTGTTTATTGTAAAATATTATGGAGTTAGTTAAAAAGAAGGTAATTTATTTTGAAAGTCTTTATTTTTCAGGAGGGAATTGGTTAATTGGAAAACCAGATACAAATTTATGTCTTGAAAACATCATACCCTTAAAAGTAGTTTTGATGCAAAATTGGCAGGATATATGGTTGGGAATTTAACAGAGCAGATGGGATGTCAGCAGCTGTTGTTCATGTATTTAGACCTGCACACTTTCCATTATAGAAGATTTCTGAAAAATCATGTGCCCATATTTGGAATCAGAACACAAATGTGCTAGTTGGCAGCTTTACCTTGCTGCGTTATAACCTGCTTTAGTTGCTTCTCTACATGAATACCAAGCTGCCAAAAAAATTACCCTGCATAAAGAGCCCTGGAGAAAAAATAGAAATGCCCTTTATCCCAAAGAGGATCTTTATTCCTTACTGCTTTGGTTATAAATGTGGAAAATGGTAGATGCATAATCATATAATAATCCCGTCTGAATCCTACAGAATAAGAATGCTTTTAACATCCTTTTTTTAGGATATCGGTGCAATGGAAGAAGAAAAGGATCAGCTCATTAAGAGAGTTGAACGTTTGAAGAAAAGGGTAAGGCAAGAATTAGTACTGTAGGCTTTGGCCCTACATCCCAGGGACTGGCAAGACTTAGGAATGTAAATAAAGATTAAGCGAGGAATGGGTGTCCATCTCAGGATGGACTCAAATAACATCGAGGGAAAGGGAATCTCCCCAGGCAGTAGCCCAACACCTTCAAGGATTTGGAGTCTAGAGCTTCACTTCATCTCCAGGGAGTACTGTTTACCACAAGGAAATGAGAAGTGGATGTCTGAGTCACATGGGGCACTCATTTCTTTTCTGAAACCTGACAGTAGCATGTACTGCTTATTCCTTCACTGTAGGTGGAGACAGTTCCAAATCACCAGCAGATGCTTAAAATAGCAAGGCAACTTCGAGTTGAAAAAGAGAGAGAAGAATGTCTTGCACAACAGAAACAGGAACAAAAGAATCAGGTATGTATTCACATAAACTTAGTATTCTCAGGATGTACAAATAGCTCATTCTGATCATTCAGATGTGCAGAAAAATAATTTTAGAATTATAGGATTTCACATTTCCCTTTGTTAGCATCTTGGAATACTATTGAATATTCTTTTTTTTTTTGGTACTGGGGATCGAACTCAAGACGTTGTGCTTGCAAGGCAGGCTTGGTGCCACTGAGCTAAATCCCTGACCCATACTTTTGAGTGTTCTGTGGTACCAACAGCATCCACATCTTTTGGGTTGTCTACTCTATGCATCTGTACACTATGTTTTAACTCATGTTCCAGCACTGTCATATGAAGCAGTGAGATTAACTTCTGATGAGACTTGTAGCCATTGTGGAGGGGCTCCTTTGATTCTGGGACTTTAAGAACATCCTTTTGTTCCACTGCTCACAGTGTGATCCATAATTTACTCCAGTAACACATAAGCAATCATGAAAAGGCTCAAAATAACCTACACTCCACATTTTTCAACTTTGCCTAAAGATAAAATAATTAGGCTAGAAAGTATTTGAAAGTAATATTTTTATTAAAAATTATTTAAAATTTTATTAAAAATTTGTCTAGGATGTAGGGCCATGGTAGTGAATGCCTATAATCCCAGAACTCTGGGAGTCTGAGGCAAGAAGATCACAAATTCAAGCCCCATTGAGGTGGGTAACTTAATGAGTTAACAAGATCCTGTTCAAAATAAAAATAAAATTTAAACATGGGCTGGGTGTTTAGCTCAGTGAAGGCCCTGGGTTCACCCCCAGTACTGAAGAAAAAAAATCTGAGTAGATTTACGTATGAAACAAATATTTCAAAGTGGTTTCATTTCCTACAAAATTGACAGTTTAGATATTTAGCTCTTTGGCATCTTCACTTGGCATCATAATAGTCCCTGAAACAGTAAGCTGGTATTTCCTGAGCCTTGGATAGTTATTTAGCATCAGTCTGGTTCTGAAACATCGCTGTACGAATGTTAACACTTCTTAGGATTAAGAAAACCTTGTTACAGTGAGAAAAGCTGGATGCATGTATTTCTTTAACAAATATTTTTTCCTTAATCACCAAATTCAAGGAATTAAAAAAATTCTGAAAGCTTTTTAAAAAGTTATATGAAAAAGTATTGAGACACTAGTTACATTTTTTATTTTATATAGTAATTTTCAGCTCTTTATGTCATAAAAATTATGTGTATTTTCTGTTTTTTGCCTGTATGAGTGGTAAGTTTCAATAGATTAAGCAAGTTGTAAATCTAATTATATTTTTAAAGCTATTTCATGCAGTTCAGAGACTGCAAAGAGCACAGAACCAGCTGAAAAGTATGCGTCATGCTGCCGCGGATGCAAAGCCTGAAAGTAAGTAGAAAAATTTTATATGATATAGGTGCTTAGAAAATATTAATCTAAATCAGTATATTCTTTAAAGCAGTCTATTAATGGGAAATAATTATCTTTGAGTGATACTGCAGGATTTTGGAGCACTATTTCATAGGTGGGGGGTGGTGCTCTGGTGAAGGCATCCATGGGTGTTCAGAGAAATTCCCCTGCAGCGTTTCCCTCAGAGGGGAAAGTAGTGATAGTGACTGTGCAAGGGAGGCTCTGTGCTGTGTGGTTATATGAAGTATTTAGGGTGGATGTTGTGGAAAAAAACACGAAATGTTGCCTTAGAGTCAGGGTTATAGAGAGAATAGTAAGATACAGAGCCCTTGAAACTGTTTTTCATAATTTGTTTCATAGAATAATAGTGCTAACTAATGTGGATGTATCTGGTTCTGTTTTTATGGAGCCTTACACCAGGATGAACCCATCCGGTGGCCCAGACTACACCAGCAAACCCATCCTAGGCATTTTGAAAGTGTTTTTGCTCATCAGACAGGAGACCAAGCAACTGAAAGCAGAACAAAGATTTCATTTGTATTGGAGAAATATCACAGTGCAGACATACAGCTGATAGTTAATCCATCTTTCTGTGGTAATCTGAAAAGTAGTCTGTGATACATAGAATGACCACAATAAAAAAGATAGGCAATTTCAAGTGTTGGAAAGAAGTTGGAGCCCTCGTATATTGCTTGTGGAGTGTTAATAATGCAGTTGTTTGGAAAACAGTTGGTGAAACATAGAGTTACCATGTGAACCAACATTTTCGCTCTTAAGTATATATCCAAGAGAAATTAAAACACATGTCCACACAAACACTTGAACGTGAATGTTCCTAGCAGCGTTATTTGTAATATCCAAAGAGTAGAAACAATCGACGTCCTTAAACTGATGCATGGATTAACAAAATGCAGCATATCCACACAGTGGAATATTGTTCTGCCACCAAGAGAAGTGAAGTCCTAGCACATGCTTAAGATGGCAGGGGTAGACTTGAAAAACGTGAGTGAAGAAACTAGTCACAGAAGACCGCATATTATATGGCTTCCATCTAAAATGTCCAAAGAAAGCAAATCCATAGAAATAGAAATCAATTCTTGGTTGCCTCAGGCTAAGAGGACAGCTCTGTCATGGAGGAGCTGAGGGTAGAAAATAGTTGCTAAGGAGTTTGGGGACTGATAATAATGTTCTAAAATTGATTGTGCTGATTGTTGAACAACTATGAATATACTAAAAACCATGATTGTGCTGATTGTTGTACAACTATGAATATACTACTACTGAATTGTACACTTTAATTCTTTTTTAAGTTTAGGCTGGCTTTGAACTCATTATAGTCCAGGCTGGCCTTGAACTCATAACGATCCTCCTGCCTCAGCCTCCTAAGTGCTAGGATTATAGGCATGCGCCTGAATTGTACACTTAAATGAGTGAATTTTGTGGTGTTGAAATTACATGTCAATCATCTCAAAATTTAAAAGCAATAAAATAGTATTTTCTTAATTCTAGACATTAATGTTTTTCCTGTTCTAATTGTTTTTGCAATTGGAATATATCTTACATTTTAATGTGGTATTTGCAGTTTAGTTGATGGTATCTTATAATTGATAATACCTTCAAAAATCAGGGAAATAAGGTATGTGTGACTGGTATGTAGGAAGCCAAGGTAAGGCAATGCTCTTTACAAGATGAATGGTTAATGTGTGTTAGCTTGTAGCTTTCTATATAGTCTCTTATTCACCTCTCATAAATTCTGATTCGTGCTCTATCTGGAAGTAGGTATGCTTTTGGTTGTAGGTATCAGGAGTTTATTAAGTCTTTATTTTTTAGGAGAATGTTAGTTATTTTTTTTTTATTTGTTTTGTTTTGTTTTTTTGGTACGGGGGATTGAACACAGGACCTTGAGCTTGCAAGGCAGGGGGCTACACCACTGAGCTAGATCTCTGGTCCAGGAGAATGTTAGTTTTAACACAAGAGAATTTTGTCTATAATTTTAGAATACTGTGTATATATCTGTTTAATTTATGTTCTTTGGAATTGATACAGGGTTGCTTTACATGTTCGCTATAAATAATTCAGATGAATCTTCTTTTAAATTACAGTCATTTAAAAATTAATACCAGGGAGCAACTGAGGAGTACATTAAATAAATAACATCAATCATAAAAAAAAAAAAAATGAATACCAGGGCTGGTGATTTAGCTCAGTGTCTGCCTTGCAAGCTCAAGATCCTGAGTTCAATCCCTGGTACAGCAAAAAACAAAAACAAAAAAACCCCAACAGGCAAGCTGTGTATCAACCTACTTAATAAATATTCTGTAAGGAGTTGGGAGTTGAGGGTTAACTCTCAGGAGAAAAAAATCTTTCCCACAGGCCTGGGAAGCAAGTAAGAAAAAAATGGCAGAAAATACAGATTAAAATAAGATTTTTTTGGGGTGTGATACCTGTATTTTGTGGATGGAGAGAGAGTAAGAAGCAGGATATTAAGAAGTTCTTGCTTTGTTAATGTCTTTCTGGGAAACAAACATCATAAGGATTGTGTTTGGCAGCCTGGGAAAAGAGTAAATTAGCAGATGTTTAATTGATTCAGGCGTTGAGTTTAATAAGGTTCATCTAAATTTTTTGTGACAAAAATGGCATATGAAGTGTCTTCCTATTAAATAACCTAAAAATAGTTTTAGTGTGACATTGTAGTTTATGATTTTGTAGAGTAATAGCCATATTATAAAACATACACTGCATACATCCATGAGATTGAGAAGCCATTCATTCAGTTATGCAGGATCAGTGAGATGTTTCAGAAGGCTTTTTGATAATAAAGTTTACTGTGATCTTAGTTTCTTTCTATTTAATTTCTCCAGGATTTTAAAAGATATATATAAATATATATATTTGATACTGGGGATCGAACTTGGATCCTTGCACTTGCAAGGCAGGTGGTGGAACCACAGCTAAATCCCTGGCCCATTTAAAGATATTTTTAAAGACTCTGCAGGAAACCTAAGACTAGTTTCAGAGTCCAAGTTAGATTTTTTAAGAGAACCTAAAATTGATGGAAGCTCTGTATTTTTTAAAATAGTTTTGTCAAGGTAAAACTGACATAATAAAATAACATATTTAAAGTATATTCTTGGCAAGTTTTGACATAGGTATTCACTGATGAAGCTATTGGCATATTTGAAAGATAATGAATGTATCTATCACCCCCCATGTGTTTCCTTGTGCCACTTTCTTTGTTTTTGGTACCAGGGTTTGAACTCAGGAATGCCACTTTGTAATTCTTAACTCCTGCTTTTTCTTCATCTGCAGCTAACCTTTAATCTGCTGTCATTATAGATTAGTTTGTCTTTTTGTTGTTGTTGTGGTTTTGAGATAGGTAGCCCTGTCTGGCCTTGAACTTGTAGCCATCCTCCTGCCTCAGTCTCCTGAGTGCTGGGATCACAGGCATGTACCACTTCACGGGACTAGTTTGTTTTTTCTAAATTTGAAACATTTTTATGCAGAAAAAGAATTTTAAGGGGGGGGATTTAGCTCACCTGGTTCCACCACCTGCCTCGCAAGCACAAGGTCCAGAATTTGATTCCCTAGTACCAAAAAAAAAAAAAAAAAAAATTTT